GAGAGAGAGAGAGAGAGAGAGAGAGAGAGAGAGAGAGAGTGGAAGATGTGTTCGACACAAAGCCCTGTGTATAGCCCTATTTCTCGATAACTTTGCATTTGTACTTCTTTCCGTCTTAGCGGAAAAGCGTTGGGGATATAATCGGTAGTCGAACAATGAGAATGTTGACCCATATACATCCGCAAGATCCTTTCTCCCTTTTTTTTCCGTCCAGACGACTCCGCTTGGCCGAGTAGCCAAGAGTCAAAGTGAGTCACTTGGAATAATCGTCTTTCTCCCCTTAAATTCTATATATTTTAATTTCTACTAATGAAAGGCATTAATCTGAAAAAACTTTTTGAATTACTTGGTTCCTAATAATCTAAATTATCCATTCCGATTTATGACGAAGCATTTTACTCATTTTATGCTAATAATATTACTTGCGATGTTACTTGAGCGACAAATCTCTTGCGATCGGTGCGAGATGTTGCGGATACGCTCGATGTAAATGGGTTAATCTCTGCATCTTCGTTACACTGCGGAGTGCATTTTCATTTCGTTGTATCTCGCTCTTGCTAGATTAACAATATGATAAACAATACGTAAGCACTAACGTTGACATATATTATTAAAAATGTAATACATGTGTACCAAACTGTCGAAAAATTAAATGATTTATACAGGATATAGGCCGAGATAGATGGTAAAATTGGAACGGGAGTAGTTCTACGGTTCAAAATAAATCGAAATATTAAAATACTTTTTTTCGAATAAAGCCTCGTTTCAATAAAGTCAGTTTAAAAAAAAAGAAAAACCCTAAAAGTTAATCAAGTACGCATTTTATTGATATGTTCCGCATGGTTTGTTTACTATCAAGACTAACTGATTCAATCAGTTAAACTTCAAAATAAATGAATGAATTTGTGCGTAAGACGGAGAATAATTTTATTTCTTGCATATTTATTTCTTATATAGTTGAGATATTGTTTTACTATTCTGCGAATTGAATTAGAATGAGTTGTTTCTAACGTATTCTGTTTTTTTAATTCTTCAGGTATATAAGAATAATTTTTCCTTTCACGCGTTCCTGATCAACTTTCAAAATCTTTTTCCTTGAAAAGGACTTGTTCGAAAAAAATGTATTTTATTATTTCGACCTACTTTGAGCCATAGTCCATAGAGTCATTTCCTTCCCAATTGTATCACACGTATCACGATCCACTTTGAATGTGTGTATGCGCGCGCGCGGGCACACATTTTTATCTAAAAACAAACAACTCCAATTTTGACAATTTGTGACAGAGTGTCAATGCTGTATCCATACACTACTTGCTTGATAATAAAGCAATTACTTTAGCACTTTTGCGGTAAGAAAAAGCAAGAGCGCGAAACAGCGAGAGAACTCTCTGCTTGTTTACCTTGTAATAATTTGCGAAATTAATGTAAATTAAAGCTAGCAACGTTAACGTTGTTATGAAAAAAAAGATTGCGTTGTTAAGAAATTTGGTCTTTTCGCTATTCTGGCTGAAAGCGTAATAAAGACGAGCGAGAAGTGTCTAATGAAGATAATGGAACACAATATTGTTACTCGTTTAAGTTTCACCCGGTGAAGCCGGTTAATAGGGATTACGAGTAAAATGTGTTTTGGTGGTAGCGAATTCATTATCTATCTCGATGCGGACATGCGAATTTGCTTTTAGAAGTATATCGGGCGTCCGTACCATTTAAATGTGTCTCACAATTAGATAAAATACGGGTGTTACATATTCTAATTAAGCATTTTACATTCGGTACTTAGTTCGTACCGATATTTCAACTATGTTCAACTGTACGCAGCAAGATATCCTAAAAAAAAATCGAACAAATTTCAGTCTCAATTTTTCCACAGTTAAGTTTTACTTAGAGAAGTCGTAATCTTTTGATTTACAATTAAATCGGCAATACCTATGTCAGATATCTCGATTCTTAAAATTAAAGACGATAAGGAAAGAACCAATCGCGAATAATTCTTGGAATTTACGTTCACGTAGATGACTCATCAATAACGAATTCGCTGGAAATAAAGCTTTGTTTTTTTTATGTGTAATGTTGCGAAGTGGAATATAAATTTGATATATATTACATGAAAATAATTCTGAATATCATACCTAAGTTATATAAAATACTACATTTATACTTATTTTTTTGTACGATTCGTTGAGACAGTATTGAAAAATTTGCATCACCATTTTATAAACTTGCTTAATCGAACAGTTTTGTAAATGATGAAAAGTTTATACGTGGAGATTACAAATTATTTAAGTACGTCACTTTTTTTTTTTTCATTTTCCTTGCCTGTGACACCACTTCAAATCTAAGTATGTTATTTTAGCTGAAACTTTTGTTACACATTTCTTGCCATTTTAAATCACATTATTTAACACGACTAAATGTATTAATTTTTAATTTAATATGATTAAACATGTAAATTACATAATTAGACGTTTATGTATATAAAAATAGCACATTTGGATTTGCAATTATTTCAATTCGAATATATGACATAGGTGCATTAATTTGAACAAGCATAATTCAGAATAATTGTATATTTAAATTTTTTACGAAATTCGAAATCTAATGTCAAGTTCATGATAGATGACACGATAAACACATAAACACATACACTTTTTCGGACACCCGGTCAATTTGAAGCACGTCTCGATATGTAAAGAAATTGGAAGCAGCGGAGACATCAGGAGATGCATTCGATTTGTATTGTTTCGTTCCGCGTGCCTATTCTCAGTTTCTCCACCGCGTTACGTTACTTATATTCACCGTAGGAGCAAATTAGGAGCCGAGAGAGAGAAGCGTTCATCGCAATCTTCAACTCGATCGCAGCTACGGCAGAAGAAGGGAGAGCTCGCAAATTATATTATTATATAATTCTTATATACGTACGTGCGTTAGTATTCGGGGTAGAATATTTTCAAAGATACTTGCGCGCGCGCGTGAGTGAGAGAGAGAGAGAGAGAGAGAGAGAGAGAGACGCACTCGCCGACGTGAGTGGTCGTCTCGCTCGTTCACGGCTTTCTCTGTCGCCTGTTTGTCGAACCTAGTTGACGATGAAGAAAGGAAGAAACAAAGCATTTTTTTAAATTAAACGGAAACAAAGCTTGCCTGGGTTTTCTTATTGGCTCGAGTTCCTTTCAATAGTCCCGTCGAACCTTTTGTCAATTAAGTACACGACTATATTGCAACAATCTTTATTAGCTCTTTTACACGCAGCGTATAAATCGTTTCATTTGCAACAAAGTGATTAATGTCACTCACGGCATAACTTCATTAATTTCCACAAATATTATATTTTAGGAACAGAGATTAACGTGTACGGTGTATCTCTTAAAAGAGATAATCGATTTTTTTCTCTTTTAAAGAGGATGATCCTGAATTTTTGCTTATCCAGCTAAGAAACCACCGTCGATGGGCAAGCAGGCGCCGTTGATCATGGAACTTCGGTCGCTCAATAAATATATAACGGGATCCACCACCTCATCGACCTCTGCAACACAATATTTCGAACCAATAATCGTCTGTTTTTTTTTTTAATAACTAACATTCAAAGGCGGAAAAAAGTTAATAATTAGATGCAACAGTATGAGAATTTCTTTAACTACCGAAAAAATAAAATAAAATGAAATAAAAAAAAAGTTTAATCTGGCTATATGAATCGACGCGACTGTTTGTGCGCAATAAATTAATTTATTTATATATATCTTACAATTGTCCGGACATTTCGGCTCCACATTGAGTCGGATTGAAAGAATAATGACGTTACACACTATACATACGTCAACACTTTACGAATAGATCGGCTTTTCGACCTCCCACCTCCCACTAGTCCCGAAGCAATCATCTTTATCACACCGCTGATGATGGCTCGATGCGGAGCCGAAACGTCCGGATAATTGTAAGAAGATAAATTTATTTATTACGCACAAACATCCCGTCGACTCGTATAGTCAGATTAAACTTTTTTTTATTTCATTATATACCGAGAGTCCTAACTAATTGTTTTAAAATAAAATGAGTTTCTAAAATAGCTATTTAGTAATTTCTGCAAAATTGTTCGAGCAAACTTGTTTAAGACCGCGCACGATACATAAATATCTTAATATTCATTATTGTGCACTTTTTAAAGATAATATATGTCGTAAGAAAAAAAGAAAATGTCATGTACAGATTATAATTACATGTTATGACTACTTATTCATGATAGCGAAACAGACAAGGTGAACAATTAACAACTGAGTAACAGCTGAGTTTGAAATATACATGTTGTCGTAAAAATTCGATGGTAAATATTTACCCTTACGAACTCACCTTTAATGACCTTCTCTTTTTTCACATATATTGTAGAGGTCATCCTCCTGAGTAACCTTCAGAAGGTTTTAGACGTCGCTCGTAGTTTATCAAAAAGTTATGAACAAAAAGGTTTAAGAAATATAATAGTTTGTGTCAGTGTACTGATTTACTGATATGTGTATTGTCTATACGCACACATATCAGCAAATCCCGTAAACTTCCTTAATTAGCACTGACACAAACTGTTATATTTTTTATCTTACGTGGAAAGTTGAAGATCCACGTTGAATCATTTTATGTTAATGATATATATACTAAAGAGAAAATACACGTTACTGAGATACGAGTGCAGGAAATGTAAAGAGAGAAAAATATATAAGCCACGACTAAATTTTTTATAAAGTTTAGCAATTTTAAAATTTATAATAAGTTCCTTATACAGAATAATGAATTAAATTAGGTCAGATTTTTCAAATTTTTTTTGTTTTTTTGTAACTTTAATAAACGAGAGACGGCTTCTGAAGATTACTCAGGAGGGTGACCTCTATAATATATGTGAAGAAGACGGTCATATTGAGAGTGGGTTGGTAAGGATAAATATTTATCAAATCTACAATTAACGATATACTAAATTATAAATTTAACTAATTAAGATTTAATTAAACAAAGAGTTTTGTTAGAACTAATTTTGAATTTAGTTAAATCGATTTTTGACGAATTTCGGACTTTAACTATGACATACATACATGTTACATTTTGAAAACCTAAAAAAAGATAGATTAATTATAAATAAAAATTATATAAATTGTAAAATAAAAAATTTTACATTATAATTATAAATAAGAGTAAAATAACAAATAAGAATTATTTTCCGCAAAGTGCCAATTAAAATCTCTTCGTCGATTTCTGTTTTATGAATTGAATTTAAATTTGATGACATTCGATTGATATTAATGCAATTTTTTAAATATCTCACAGATCGATCGTCTTCCAAACAATCGTCTTCCTTAACAAATTTGTTGGGAGGATTAATTTGAATATTTCTATTTTTGTCAGAAATGACACGTGCGTCGAATGCTAGCTGTCAGTTATTGATAACCCATTCCTTTATTTGCTATCGATCGGTCATATATCAGCATACCGGCATGTTGCGTTCATACGAAAGCTGTCCATTTAGCGAATGATAAAACAATCATGACACAATATATAAGTATAATATAAATATTGTCATGCCCCGTGGAGATCGATGGTCACGGACTAACGAATAATCGGTTTCATAAGATGATTAATGTGTATTATCTCAAAATTCATTGACAGATTTGTATAGGGGAACGAGGGGTAGCTCCGGACATTATTGAAATTCAAGTATACCGCGTATCTATGGCCATTGTTTAAACATTCTAATATGCCCTTCTGCGTATCTCGACATATGCAGAATGTTTAAACAATGGCCATAAGTATTTGTCATGTTTAAGTAAGTGAATGCATATATGTGGTGGTTGAAGGATGTAAGTATAATAGGTAGATATAACGCGGTGTAGATAGATGTGTATGGGGGAGGAGAAGAGATTTGATTATGGGATATAGCTGCTTATAATTGATATCCTTAGTTTCCTACGACAGTAGAATGTCCTTGACGCTTTGTTTTAGCGCGAGACAACAATCCCAGCACGGCAGCGCCAGCGGTGCGTTGTTCCCTTTCCCTTGTTACACCACTGAACTATAAACTTAGCTAGAAGTAATTGGCCTCTTTTCCTTTTATCATTCAATGCTTAAACTGTCGATCAGTGTACCCAATCCAACGATCCAAAACTCCAAATTTAAAATTTTATTTTTGAGGTTTTAGCCAGGTTTTGGGATTTGGGACCACTGTGTGTCAAACGAATTTTTGATTATGCTATTTAAATACACTAATCGACAATATACCAGTGGTTGTTTCAAACGTGAGAGGATTCTGGATTACTAATGCAACGATTCGTTCCAAATAATAGTGGATTTTACATACAATAAGCAATCACGAGAAATGAATATATTGAAAGGTACATAACAGATTTTGCCAACGAATTATATAATTCTGAGCCTGAAATTCGCAAGCCAATTATTTACATACATTGATGGAATGTACGTACATTCCAAAGAGCAGTAATTTTCATATACTCCATCAATCTTATTGTAAGCGACTGTATCCCATAATCAAATCTTTTCTCCCCTCCTACACGCACACACATCTATCCACGCCGAATTATATTCCACCCTCCAATTACCACATTCACTTATTGTTAGACGAAGATAAGCTTCTGAACTCTATGTCAAATTTACCTTCAAATCTCGATATTTTGGCTTTGAAGCTTTTGGCTCTGCGGCGACTATTGATTTTTATGCCCATTGATACTTTTTATCAGAACAGTAATTAACATATTTCAATTTTAGTAAAATTAGTAAACCGAAAGTCGTTTTCCATTTAATTTAAAATGTGCGGGGTTTTTACACACTGTTAAATATTAAAGAACGAAGTTTAAATCAGTACCTTGAGTTAAATTTTGTGGTAGTTTTTAACTACCATGTGTGTCAAAATTTATTATTTTAACACAAAATTGTGGGCAAGAATGTTATTTCCGGGGCCCCTCAATTTGATAGGTGTATTTGATAGATCTTTCGCTGAGAAAAAAAATGCCGCAAACCACAATGCGCTACGATGCATAGTTTTCGAGATATTAATTTATATAATCTATCACATAGTATAATAATATACGCAGAATTAGCAGTGACCCCTACGCAACTCTAACACCTGCCCCCTCCCCCTACTTTTCACTCACAACATTTCTTTTTCATACTACTCTCTTTGTTTGACGTGTTATTATTCAAACGTGTAGTCTAACTAGTATACAAGTCTAGGTGTACACTAGGCAGTGTAGAATTTAGTATCAAAATGTCGCTACCGAAACATCTACGTATTTGAAAAATCGATATCTCGAAATGTAATTACTAGATGACATAAAATATGTGTATTCAGGAAATTGATAGAGAATATATAATGTTTCATTATGTATATATATAAACGAGCTCGTGAAGCACGCCACGAACTCATGTGACAACTCCGTGCGTGAATTAAGTAGGTTCCGCCCCCCTGCGGGGGGCTCCACTACTGTTAAACTAGACACATAGTGTACCTTGCAAAGTACATGCGTAAACTTTCCACACGTGGTAAAAATTGCAAACCCCATAATACCATACAACAATAATGCTATATTATTACATTTAGAAATCGATATCTCAAAAACTATGCATCGTAGCGCATTGTGGTTTGCGGCATTCTTTTTCTCAGCGAAAGATCTATCAAATACACCTATCAAATTGAGGGGCCCCGGAAATAACATTATCCCTAAATTGTGTTATTTTAATTTCATTGGTTTAGTTAAATTAACGACATATTGAGTAAAAACAGTGACGAACTATATAGAATTGACATATTAAAAATGACTCAAATTAAGTATAATTTTGACACTACAAATTTATTAACAGTGTAGACAAAATTTACGAATCGTAAATAATTGGATAAAATTTATTTAAATCTCATATCGATTTGATTAAAGAATAAATTAAATAATAAAATAAATAAGTAAATATAAATAAAATCTCTTTTGATTAAAAATACCCATGCTTGTCACGTACCAGCGAATCGACCGAGCGGAATTTTGTCGATCATAGTCTGTGCTTTCTTTGGATCGCTCCAACCCAATTTTCCCATTTCCGTCATCACGACTGTAGGACCGACGTTATTGACTCTTATGTTGTGGGGACCCAGTTCGAGGGCCATTGCTCTAAAAATATCACAAAATGCGAATATTAAAACGTTGGACAATTCAATTTACACTTATTCGATGAAATTGAAACCGACTTTTCTTCGAAAATACTGTGATCTACGAAGACAGTGTAGTTAAATATTACAAAGGACTAAAAAGTAAAGTTCAAGATCGAAAGAAATTCGATAGGTAAAAATGAGTAACAATCTTTCTCATTTTATTTTAACAAAATTTTATTTGATTCAAACTTTTTAAACTAAAAGAAAAAGTCGACACGAAATTTGTAGATAGAACATCTTCAATTTTTTTTCTTTTAATTTTCTTGGTCTTTTTTATATTCCGTATTTCTACGTCTATTTATTTGACGTTGATTCGCGACAAGTGACAAACTTGGCTAATTTTCGAACGCGTCGGTTAAATGTCAAGCTTTCGTTTTATGGATCACGGCGATATTAATTATTTTACTTCGACAGCATGTCGAGAGCTCCCTTTGACGCGCAATAAACAGCGTGATCCTTCAATGCCGCCTGACCAGCCTGCGATGATATATTTACAATATTCCCGCCGCTTTTGCGCTCGATCATGTTCTTGGCTACAATTTGGGACACGTTCAATACAGCCTTCACATTGACATTGAAAGTCAGGTCGAATTCTTCGGGCGTGGCGTCCAAGAACGGTGAGAGGCACGCGACAGCGGCATTATTGACCAATAGATCGATCGGCAGAATACTTTGAACGGCCTTCCTAGTTGCATTCCAGTCGCGAAGATCGACACAGATTGGCTGAATTTTTGGATCGGTCGTTACCAAGGTATCCAAGTTCTTCTTTGTTTTCGAGATTGCGAACACTTGTCCCTTATATTTGGAGAGACGAAGGGCTAGCTCCTTGCCGATCCCTGTGCACATTTATGATAATGAGTTTATTACAAAATAAAATATCTAAGTATTTGTGTCAGTCGCGTTTTATCATATCGATTTAGTCCAGAGAAAAGTTCTCCAAAATTGCGCGCTGAAAAGGCAAGATTCTTAAAAATAATTTTGATTGATCTTTGATGATCCCTTATTATAAATAAATCGATAGACTTGTATTATTGTCTGTTAATAAAGTGCAATATTTTAATAGTTATTTGTGTAACAAGTGAGGTAAGATGAAAATTCCCGGGTGCGGAGTTTACGCACGAGCCGAACGGTTACCGCACTCGCCTTCGGCTCGTGCGTAAACTCCGCACCTGGGAATTTTCATCTTTACACACGGCTTACACTCCCTATTTTATGTTGCAAGTGCCTGGAAAGTGGTTATCACGCACGCGTAGCGTGCGTAATGGGGCACTTTCCATGCACGTGTTGCATAAAATATCAATACGTTTTCTTACTCTTTCAAAGGGGAATATACATAGCGAATTCTCTCATATGGCAAAACTATTATACCTAATCTTTATGTTCCTTTATCTTGTCATTGGTCAATGTATTCGTATCATTTTTTTTTAATTTCTTTTGGTCATATATATGGCTACAGTTTGATCGATGCTTTTTTTCAAAATACACTTTTTCTGATTTTTAATAGTTTGCAAAGACTTAATCTTTTTGCAACCTTGATTACTCGTAATTGTTAATAAAATTATAATTTTCTAAAAACTGAACGATCAAATTACAGTCTATTCATTTATGAAGAGATTAAATAAAACTTTAAAAATAAATCGGTTCTCAAGTGTGGTTCTCAAGTGGTTCTCAAGAAAAAAGTGTATAACGGTCAAAAAACATAATTTTATGGAGGAAGACTTCAAAGATTTTGCTGCTATTTCACATTATAACCGTACATTACTTGTAATAAATTAGGCATTTAGACATACTTAAAAATTGTTTTATATATATAGCTACTTTAAGCTACACTTTAGTGCAGGAAACAGTTTATTTTAAAGAACATTTTTTTAAATCGATTTTTGATCATTTTTAATTGCGTACTCCTCCTTAATAAAAAATTACTTTAATATTTTTATTTTATTATATGTGAACACGTGCATTGTATGTATGCATTATTGACTGTTACTAGAAAAGCTCCTTCTAATGCCTCGCTGCGCGCAAAGCAACCGCAATCAACGCATGACGCTATATTTCTTATCACTGAATCGCGTAGATACATGATACATGCTCATTCACAGATTTTTATTAATTATAATTTTTTATTTATTATTGCAAGAATCACAAAATGGTACAAGACTTCTTTATTCGTTTAAAGAAAGTGCACGTCAAAAGACGTGCATTTTCTATGTTAATCTTATCTTCCAGAAATAAACTTCCAAAAATAAATTGTTATCAAGCGACGCGGTAGCGTCGCGACGCCAAGTACATAAAAAGAGAGTTAGCAGACGACGCTACCAAGTAGCTTATCCGGAGTTTTCGGACCGATCGATTTTCCGAATGAAATATCTCAAGAAAGAAAACTGCGATCAAAAATCTGACGACAGTTTTCTAATATAACGTTGATACGAGCTTTCGATTGCGACCAGTTTGATTAAGATTGGTGCAGTCAATACTGAGATCTCGAAATCTCACATGTCAAAAAGTGAATTTTTTCGGCGACGTCTCAGGAAAAAGTTCAGATTTCAGTCACACAAACACACACACGCAAAGCCAGTTTGTCCCTCAAAATGCGTTCATACCGCTCTGGTCAATGCAACTGCATATTCACACGCTCACATTCCTTGACGCTGATTGGTTATATCTCGCTTATATGCACAGATCGAATCTGGAAATTATCATAAAAGTGAAATTGATATTAAATGATGTTGGTTATAGTTATCTCAACAGCTTATCAATGCGTGTCAAAAAAGGTTAAATTTGTTTCGCGTTTGGCCGTGCGAAATTACAGAAAGAGTTCCAAGAAAGAATTTTTCAAGAGAAAGAGAAAGAGAGAGAGAGAGAGAGAGAGAGAGAGAGAGAGAGAGAGAGAGA